TCTCCCCGCCGCGGATGGACTCGGATCTTCCGGGCCTAAATCCCCCTTCAGCTGCCTGAAGGAGCCGCCGCCATCGCGCTGTGACGTCACTTCCCCTAGCAACCCAGAGGGGCGGGGCCACGCTGCCTGAGGGGCGGGGCCGCGCTGCCCGAACGACGGAGTGGGGCGGGGCGGGCGCGAGAGCGTTGAGGTGTCCTCGCGCGACCCCTGGACCCCCGGCCCGCCCCTTCTCCTTCTGGCCTCGGCTGGGCTCCTTCCCGTGTGCGGACTCTACGTTTGCCCTCGCAGGCCCGTGGGAAGCCAGCGGCTCCTGGCAAAAGACCCGAGACAGGCCTGCGGGCATCGCGCGTTGCTAGAGGGTGAAAGGGGGCCGAGTCCGCCCCTCCAGGCTCCCGGGGCCCCTGCCCTCGTATGCGGCAGGAAGGTCCTTCCGTCCGGGCCAGCGCCCGCAGAGAGTGACACAGGCCGGGACACAGGTGTGCACCCTGGCCTGGTGCTGAAGAGCCCCGACGTCCTGCACACTCGAACCTGGGGCGAAGGAAGGGCACGCCCCCCGGTCTGGTGTCAGACCTGGAGGGTGAAGGTGAAGCTACCAGGGTTTCAAAGGGCTAGGCCAGGACTGCCAGCCTCCCGTCCGTCTGGAGACTGAATCAACGTGTCCAGAGCAGCGTTTTTGTTATTTGCTATATGTAATCATATTGCGACAGCCAAAAGTGCAAACAACCCAAATCTCCCAGATGGGCGAATGGATAATCAAAGTACAGCCAGTCCCTGCAGTGGGATAGTTACTCCCCAGCCACGAAAGGAACGAAGCACCAAAGCTACAAGGGGAATGACTCGAAAACACTGAAGAAGCCAGACCCAAAGGGCCACGCTCCTCAGGCGCAGCATCTGTGTGAGACAGAAAGCCGACTGGGAGGTGGGGAGGTGGCTGGAGCTGACGGGCGCTGAGCTCCTCTTCTGGGGTGACAATCACCTGCCAGAACGAGGTGGAAGTGATGATTGTACGGCATCACGAATGCACCAAAGCCACCGAATTGCACACTTTAAAACAGTGCTAGCCGGGGTGGCTCAGTTGATAGGAGCCTCATCTCATAAGGAGAAGGTTGCGGGTTCCATCCCTGCTTGGGGCACATACCCGATTGTGGGCTGATGCCCAGTTCTGGCCCAAGCATGTGCAGTCCTGGCCTGGGCAACCAATGGATGCTTCTCCCTGGCATGGGAATTTCTTTCTCCCTTCCTCTCTCCCTGAAAGCAATGAAAAAAAAAAATGTCCTTGGATGAGAATTAAAAACAAATTTTAATGGTTAAAATGGTGAATTTTATGTTATGGGAATTTTAATTCATTTTTAAAAACCACAGGCCCTGGCCTGGTAGGCTGGGTTAGGGCATCGTCCTGAGGCACCAAGGTTGCTGGTTCCACCTGCAGTCAGGGCACACGCCTGGGTCGAGGGCCAAGTCTCCAGTAGGAGGCACTTGAGGGGCACCAGATCAATGCTTCTCTCCCTCTCTTTCTCCCTTCTTTCCCCTCTCTCTAAACATAAACAAATACAATCCTTTTTTTAAAAATTTTTGTTTAAGATTTTACTTATTTTTAGAGAGGGAATGGAGGGAGATAGAGAGAGAGAGAGAGAGAGAAACATCAATGTGCAGTTGCTGGGGGTCATGGCCTGCAACCCAGGCATGTGCCCTGGCTGGGAATTGAACCTGCGACACTTTGGTTCACAGCCCATGGTCAATCCACTGAGCTACGCCAGCCAGGGCTTCAATCTTTAAAAAAATTAAAACTGAACTGTATGTTAAAGAAAACACAGATCAACCCTGGGGACCGAACCCAGACTCCGTGCTGCAGCTCGGCAGGTCCCCACCACCCCACGGGGATGCCTGCAGTTCCCCAAGGGCATTATTTTCTGCCCAGGGCCTCTGCACACGCTGCCCTGTGCTCATGCAAGGTGCGCGCCCCACCTTTGCTCAGCTAAACTCCCTCTGCGCCCCCCCCCGCCCTGTCCTTAGTGAAGGACACTGAATTGGCGCCCACAGTGCACACGAGTAACAGTAACGTCTGGACAGGAGTGGAGGGGCCACCCCCTTTAAAGGCAGTGTCTGGGGGCGGGGCTCAGGGGTCAGGTGCCCAAGTTTCCATCCTTGCTCTGCCACCAGCTGTGCCACCTGGGGCAGGTAACTCAGCCACCCTGTGCCTCCGTTTTCTCACCTGGGAAACAGGGATAAGCGCACGAGACCCCGAGGGCTGCGCAGAAGGCGAGGAGGTCACCACACGCACCCCTCAGAACGGGGCGTGGAAACAAGTTAGTGCTGGGTGCACGCTGGCCGCTCGCCTCGCTCCCGTGCGTTTGCTCAGCACACGGTCCTCGCACAGCTGGCAGCGGTGGCATTCGCCCACAAAGCAGTGGATGGTGCCCGGACGGGACAGTCCCCTCCTGCTCAGACCTGCTGGGGTCTGGACCTGAGCCCACCCCTTGCTCCAGGACCTGAGTCTGTGTGCCGAGGGGTGGGGCCAGCAGTAACGATTATTCCCACTTAATTAACAACATTCGCCAGCCGAGTCTCTGTCCAGGGGTTCAGGACAGACAGGCCAACCACAGGCAAGGACCACGGTCAGACTGCAGGCAGCACCATGTGGGCACGGGGCCGCAGTCTGTGGCTTCTGGCAGCTTCCACGGGAAGGTGACCTTTCTCTGAGATCTGAAGGAGGAACGGCCTCGGCCTGTGGGAGGGGGCCAGCACGCAGGGCCCCCGGTGGGACCGGGAGGGTCTCCCAAGGGTGAAAGGCAGTGTGCAGAGGGGCTTGCCTGTGCGTGTGTGCTCGGGTGTGTGTCTTGCACAGCTAGCGCCCAGCTATTGGCCCGGGAAAATCCGGAAAACGTCAGTCGCCCCAGGCTCAGGCTCTGGCTGGAGGAAGGCATCGGTGGGAGTCGGGAAGAGCAGCCTTTCAGGTTCTGGGTGCCCTGTGCCAACCCTGTGACTAATGGGGCAGAGGCAAGCGTCCCTCGCCCGCACCAGGACGGAAACGGAAGTGAGTTCATGCCCGCCGGCAACAGCCCGCCAGTGGCCGGGCAGGGGCAGGCAAGACCCAGGCTCGGGCTGGGCTCCAGCTCTGACAGGCGTCTGCTCCAGAGGCAGCCGCTAGCCACGCACAGCTGTTTAGCTTAACTGAACAAGTAAGAGAGAAAACCTGGCTCCTCGGCCTCGCTAGCCACGTCCCGAGGGCTCAGGGGCGCCTGGGTTGGATGGCACAACAGAGTGTTTCTGTTATCCCAGAGAGCTTGCCTGGGCCCCTGGCGACCAGGGGTTTCAGCTGGGGTGGAGCCGTGGGAGGCATTTGACAGTGTCCCCCCGCCATCACACGGGGTGGGGGGGTGTTGCTGGCCATCGTGGGTGGAGGTTGGGATGCTGCTACAGTGCACAGAGGGGCCCCAACTGTCAGCGTGGCTCAAGAGGAGACCCCCGCTGTCCTAGACCGAGCCCCGAGGTCGTTGTCATGGTGTCCCGGGCTGACTAGTAGAGCTAGAAAGTAAGGAGGTGCTTGAAAAGGAAACCAAACAACGACCCACGACGAGGTGGTTGTGCTAAAGGAGCACGCAGGGAAGGGGCTCCCTAGAGCTGAAGCGGGAACACTCTAAACAGAACACATCACAGTGTCGCGCTGAAACCCAGAGTACAAAGATGGGTATCTATTCATGCGTGCTGGTCTATAAATGATTGAAAAAATAGAGAAAGGGGAGAAGAGACCAATCTCCCATGCTGAAGAACATTAAGTAATTTAAGGAGCTGCTCTGCCCTCCTCTGCCCTCCACAGAGGCATCACTCCCTGCTCTGTGAGGCGGGCGCAGGCTTAGTAACCCTCTCCCCCAGAGCACACGACCATAGGGAAGGGAAGGAATGACAGGTGGAGACACCTGGAAACTGCCTCAGCCAGGTGACTAAGGTCACATCGCCGTGACTCATGTTGACAGCAGAACCTTGTTGTGACCAATGACAAGGGCGCTTCGTCTTCCTGGCCTCCCTGCCCCACGCCCACGAGGCCAGACCGACCCTGAGACAACCGGCACCCGAGTCCCAGCAGAGGGACGTCCGCACAAGCCCCGCCCAGCACGCGGCCCCACCCTGGTCGCCCCGCACCAGGACCCTCCCAGAGGCAGCCAGCGCCCCCACTCCTCAGGGGAGAGTCGGCCACGGAAGAGGAACAAGAGGTTACAAGACTGAGGAAGTGTGGACTTCGGTTACAAAAATGCATCAGGACTGGCTCATGAACTGTAACAAGTGCCCCACCCTGTGTGAGACGTCGGGGAGACGCTGGGTGCAGGGGGTGGGGCCTGGTAGGGACTCTGTACTATCTTCTTCGCACTTTACCAATATGTAGAACTGTTGTTCTAAAATGGGTTTATTTAATAAGTAACTTTTTAAATATTTGTTCACTTATTTATTTTGCTGTAGGATCCTGATTGTTGCCACAAGTTAAAGATCTTCCCCATCATTCCTCGCTCGGTAGTAAACCTGAGTGTTTAAATCTGCCATCCCATGAGATGGAAAGAATTCAAGCACACAAAACCCATCTGAAGGGTTGCCTGCGGGTTCAGGGGAACGGGAGCAGGGAATGAATGAGCAAAATATTATATAAATAGATGAAACAGGAGAGGGCCTGGCACCTGTGACTCATGCTCAGGCTCCGTGACCGAGGCATGACCTGACCCTCAGAGAAAGAGGGAAACCGACTGTAAAGTGGGCAGCCTGGTCTGCAGGCGGCCCCTTGCGTTGGTGAGCTGGCGAGGCCTCCAAGCCTCAGTTTACTCTTCTGTTAAAGGGGGCAGGGAGGGGAGGCACTGGCCACAGCCCCTCCCCACACCCCAACCCACAGTAGGGCCTTCATCCAGGGGCAAGGAAGGCCAGAGCTATGGGTACAGGGGGAGCAGCGCTGCCCAGAAACACCAGCATCTCATTGTGAAAACGACACATTGAAACACTGTGAGACCCCAAGCAGAGGTCTCAGCCAAAACGTCAGATCAGAGATACCAGCCTCCTGCAATCATGTCCCTTCACGGACTGGCTGTGGGATGCCAACCACGTGTCCTCCCTGGGCTTGCCAAGGAGCACAGACCTGGGCATCGCCGTGGGTTGGCGCCCTGGTGCCCACCAGAGTGCTGCTGGGGCCGGACGGGAGCGAGGTGGCTGGGAAACGCTGTGAGTTAAGAAACACACAAATACAAGCTCCAGCACAAATAACAACCCCCCTTTTTTTTAAAAGAAATCTTTTTAGATTTTATTTATTTACTTTTAGAGAGAGGGGAAAGGAGGAAGAAAGAGGAGAAAAACAGCAATGTGTGAGAGATACACCAATCAGCTGCCTCTCACGTGCCCTCCCCCCCAGCTGGGGACCTGGCCTGCAACCCGGGGCTGTGCCCAGAGTGAGAATTGAACTGGTGACCTTTCCGTTTGCAGACCAGAGCTTAATCCACGGAGCCACACCTGCCAGGGTGCCCCTTTTTATTACAAAATCTTTTATTACAAAATCATAAGTAGGTAACTCTGTAATATAACAATATCGCGCTCAAGCACACTGTATGACATTCAGGTGAAGTGTTCAAATGAAAACTATGAATTGTTACATCCATATTGTCACCCTGCCAACCACATTCAAGCAGGCGTTACTTCTGACAGACCCTGTAGAACTGTTTTTAAATATATGATCTACAAAGTATGGAAAAAGGGACAATGTGGGAAAAGGATCTTTGTATAAGGCCTTTGGGGCGCTGCTAGGCCTAAAATCACCCTCCTTTCCTGACCTTGTCCTGGCCCTGTGCCCTGAGCCCTTGCACATTCCCAGGAGGGCTGTGCCAAGGGTCAGCTCCCCTGGCTGCCTGGTGTTTTTGGAGTTCCATTTTCTTGGAAGTCTGTCGGCAGGCGAGAGTATGTTCCACACGCAGGGGATCCTGAGCTCGGGTCCATGCCAGGGTCTCCCTCCCCAGGTGAGGGTGCTTGGAGACCCAGCCTCGCGGGTGGGGGGTGGGGCAAACTTACCAAATAAAACTACAGAACAGTTCCAGTTAAACTGGAACTTCAAATGAGCAAGGAATGATCTGCAGCAGGTGCATATACAGGCAAATCTACACGGAGCACAAGTGGATCCGCGGTTGCCCAGGGCTGGGCGGAAGGGGATGGAGGGGGCCAGCTGATGAGTACAGGATTTCTTCCTGGGTGGATGATAAAACCTGTGGTAGCTTTAGTGCGGGCATAGTCGCGTGACTCTGAATGCACGAAGCCATTGCCCCGCACACCTTCTGTGAGCGAGTTTTGGGCTGAGTGCACTGCACCTCACCAAAGACCTGTGTTTAAACTCACAGCCCCTACGTTCCTCCCAAGGGCCGTGATCGTCACGTCGTAAGGGCCTCGGACCGGCGACCGTGCAGCGGTCCCGTGGGAAAAGGAGGGTCCAGACCCCTACGTGCCCATGCTGCCCCAGGCGCAGGGACCCCGCCCAGGCCTTGGGTTCGAGTCCCCACGCATCCCTCGGAGACGCAGGACAATCTCCGACCACCGCGAGCCTATTCGGGAAACTATATGAAGTCTCCCGGAAGTCCGAGAGCGGTGGGACTGTAAGTCTCCGCTGTGCGGTGTCCCGATGTCCCGGGGCCCCAACCGGGGTTCCACCTAAACTCCTAATCGCTCACCCCCGATTCACCCCTGTCTCCTAGATCCAGCGGCCGGCTCTGCCTTAAGTAGACACTCCTGGGCCCTGATTGGCCAGGTCGAATCACATGCCCATCCTTGATCCAATCGCGGAGGCCGAGGCTTGCTGGACTGTGATTGCTCAGGCCTGGTCATGTGCCCCGGGTGGGGGTGTGGCTGTCGGGCTCCGAACTGGATTTCCCTGTCCCGCCCTAACCGGACCACTCGCGGCGGGGCCGTCGGGACCCTCGGCGGCCACGGGTTGCCCGGCCGGGTGGGTTCCGGACGCCTTTCTTAGCATTCACCCGGTGGGCGGTTCCGACTTTAAGGATCGGATTTCACGCCTTCAGTCCTTCGGGTCATCCGAAACCGAAGAGCACAGTTACTTGTGTTTTTAAAGCGGCCTAAAGGCGGCCCGGCTCGCGGTCACAGCGTCCCACCGGCGCGCCCCATTTCCCTCTGTCCTGAGATCATCATCCCAGGGATCACCTCCCCATTACTCATCAAAGATCCCCAACTTGGCCCACAATGACGCAAACGGTGGGGAAACAGAAGGACGACGGTGCCCCCTAGGGGTGACGCAGCGCTGATGTTGAGGCTGGTGCTGCGGTTCCCGGGGTGGGGGTGGAGGGGGGCAGGGAGGGAAGGGCCCCAAGTGCCACGGTCCTCGGGACCCGCAGAGGAAACCCACAGGGGACCAAGAATCCGAGGAAGGGACAGCGCAGCCCCATCACAGCGGGCTGTGATGGGGAGGACGCCGTCTCCCACGGCCAGGTCCCAAGCTCACACGTCCCAGACTCCAGGGATACCGAGCGAACGGCACATTTCCCACCGAGGGGGGGGGAATGTCCTTGAGCGTGACCGACGTGATCGCAGGCTTTGTGACCAGCCTGGGGACCGTCTGTGACGGAGAAGACCCAGGACGGCGCTGTGACCTCTTCGGATGTCTGTGCTTCAAACGCACCTGAGACAAATACAAAGAGGCTTTCTATGTTTTCATATCAAAATTTTAATGAAAAATTTATTTTCCTCTTATATTTACTTGTTTGTTGGTAATCTGAATTAAAATCTAAAAGACAAAAAGGGGACTGTTTTGTTTGCTGGCATGTAGGGTTGAGGACGGCCCTCAGCGTCCAGTGCCGTGCTGGGTGCTGGAGGCCTGGCCCTCCCGGTCTCTCCCCTCTAAGAGCACAGGAGAGTGAGAACGTGGGGGTGTTGGGAGGGTGGGAGCAGCTGTTGGCCTGAACCAGCTGGGAGGGATGTGGTTGGGGGGTGAGTCCTGCAGGGCTGGGAAGGGGAGCACGTACCCGCGCAGCTTTATTGGGGGGAGAAGCACACAGTGTGGGTGGGTGTGCTGGTAGTGGGCAGGCTGTGGGGGATGGGTGTGTATGAGGGGCAGGCCGTGGGGGGATGGGTGTGCATGAGGGGCAGGCCCTGGGGGATGGGTGTGCATGAGGGGCAGGCCGAGGGGGGATGGGTGCGTATGGGGGGCAGGCCATGGGGGGGGTGGGTGTGCATGAGGGGCAGGCTGTGGGGGATGGGTGTGCATGGGGGGCAGGCCGTGGGGGATGGGTGTGCATGGGGGGCAGGCCGTGGGGGATGGGTGTGCATGAGGGGCAGGCTGTGGGGGATGGGTGTGCATGGGGGGCAGGCCGTGGGGGATGGGTGTGCATGAGGGGGCAGGCCGTGGGGGGATGGGTGTGCATGGGGGGGGCAGGCCATGGGGGGATGGGTGTGCATGAGGGGCAGGCTGTGGGGGGATGGGTGTGCATGGGGGGCAGGCCGTGGGGGATGGGTGTGCATGAGGGGCAGGCCGTGGGGGGATGGGTGTGCTGGTAGGGGGCAGGCCGTGGGGGCTGGGTGTGCATGAGGGGCAGGCTGTGTGTGTGTGGGGGGCAGGCTTGGCTGGGCCTGAGGCCTCCCAGGACCCCCCTCCTGTGCTGGAATGGGGGTCTCCCGTCCCAGAAGGGCTTCTTTTCCTGCACTCCCACTACGGGCTGAGTCATCACCGTATGTGACAAGCAGGTTCCCATTACACCTCCTGACACCTGCATTCGTAAGCCTGGGTCAGCAGCTACCAGGAAGTCATGGGCTGGGAGTGGCGGCGACACGGCACCACGGCAGAGGCGAGGCAAGCTGAGCGATGGAGGAGATAATGTTACTCTCGAAACCCGGACTCATCCGTAACCCGGAGTTGCAGCCAAGGCCAGCTGGCCACCCTTCTGAAGGACGGTGCCACCCCACTGGGCCCCAGGCCTCCCTGCCCCTCGCAGGGCCACCCTCGGGGCTGGACCGGGGTGCCAGCCAGAGCAGCGTCCCCAGGAGTCCCTTCGGGGCCCAGACAAGGTGGCTCCTTGGGACGACCCTGCCCTGTGTGACCCCTGTCCGAGGCCTTGTCCAGGGCAGTGTCTGCCCCTGGGTGGGCGCGGTGGGCAGGCTGCCTGAGCTCGACCGTGGAGCTCCGCCTCCAAGGCGGAGCACCTGTGTTCCTTCCTGCCTGGCTGTGTCATTTCTTCCCTGTCTGAGACCTGCCTGCTCAGGCCTCTCATTCTTATCGGTTCCAGGAGCTCTCTCTCTCTGTTTAAAAAAAAATTGGCTCCTTGCCCTCTGTCCCCTCCAGCAACCCACACCGCTGACTTTGGGGTGTGTGCCCTGCTGGTCCCGATGATCCCAGCCTCTTGGGTTGGTTTTTAAAGTTCCCAAACCCTGGACCCCTCAAACCGTCCTGGAATGTTGTGGGGATGCTTATTTCTCCAGGTCGTTGGTCCATGACCCTTGTCCAGCCCACAGGGAAGTCACCCTGAGGCCGGGAGGGGGCTCCATTTCTTGTCAAAGCCCCTGCCTGCTCTGGGCCTCAGTTTCCCCGTTGGTCAACAAGGGGCTGGGCCTCATGGACTTGGCACCCCCTTCCAGGCCTGGTGTGTGGAGACAGGAAACTCGGGCTGGGCTCCCCTTGCCTGGTGCTGCCACCAGAGGGCAGGCTTCCCTCCTGAGAGCCAGAGGGCTGCACCACCTGGAAGGAAGGGTTAGCTGCTGTGCAGACCTGGTCGAGTAAGGGCCCCAGGGCGCCCACAGAGGGACTGAGCAACCCGGTTCAGGACCCAGCTCAGGCACTCAGCCACCGAACTGCACGAGGCCAGGTGCTGGGACCCTGCTGGAGAGTTTGTCACCCATGGGCAGGAATGGGACTGCCCGGGATTCCAGCAGACAGAGGGGAGGGGGGTGGAAGAAGGCAGAACGTGCTGTGGGTGCCGCTGCCCCTCAGGGTCCCTCCCTTGTCCACACCCTTCTCTTGGCTCCCCAGGGAGTGGCTGGCTCTGCCTGGCAAGGGGTCCTGGGGTCAATGGGAGGGTGGCCAGCTGAGAGGGGTGGTGCTAGGATGCTGGACTCATGGGCTGGACTGGACTGCTTGCGGAGAGGCATTGGGCCAGGACCCCCAGCGGCAGGGTCACAGGGCAGACTGGGCGGCCATCAGCGCTCAGCCCGACCAGGGAGCAGGAGTATTGTGGGGGCTGGTCCCAGCTCAGAGCTGGCTGTCTGGGTGGAGAGGGAGGCGGTGCTC